GAGCTCGAAGATTCAAAGATCTGAAGAACAATGCTTTATGAAGATTTGAAGACCTGAAGAACGAATATTTGAAGATATGGAGATATTCATATGAAGATTGAATCAAAATTCAATTGAAGATCAAACCATATATCTCAGAAAGCCCTTAAACAGAAGATCAAGTCATAAAACGGCTCTTTTATTGAAGATCAAGCTACTTGAAAACTGGAGGCCCTTAAAGCTGAAAATCCTGCATCCAAGAAGATTTGAAGAACGAAGATTCGAAGATTCGAAGATCTTAAGAACGAAGATTTGAAGATATGAAGAACTTTCGAATGTTTGAAAGATTTGAGATTTAATTTTGAATAAAATTCTTTAATTATATTATTTCAAATTGCAAGTAAAGAATCAAAGGGTTCATATTTATAGATTGTACCCGATATTCTCATATATTATTATTTTCGATCAATTTTAAGTACATACTTGAAATTTGTTTCAGTCATATTTTTGTGCATTGAAACTCTAGAAGTAATATTTGGGTCACTATTAAAATTAGGACTATTAGCTAAATATATCTCCAACTATCATCAAATTCACATATGTATCTCATATTTTCACTTTTATTAAAAAAAAAAGACTTAAACTTCAACTTTTCCCACAATTACACTTTCAATGGATGAATTGGTAAAAATTAAGAAGAAAGTGATATTCATATTTCATCTTTTTCATTTGTTTCTAGTTTCAAGTTCACAAATTTGTATTGTTTATATCTAATTGGTATTGATAAAAACGTGTAATTTTGAAAAAACAAAAAAGAAAAGCATAATTTTTTAAAAAGATGAAGTTCGAGTCTTTTTTATAAAAGTGAAAGATTATGATAGATTTTTGAATTTGATGATAGGTTGGGATGAAATAAGCTAATAATCCTTCAAATTATTACATTTCTATAATTTTTTTTGGTGAAATACATTTCTATAAATTATGCCCAGAATACAACGATAATGGTTATTAGACAATCCACATCCCTACATCGTCTAAAAATTTAAATATGGATTCCGTCGATATAAAAATAGTGATTAGACTCCATCAATACCGCTTTTCTCTCCAGTTAGGACCATAAAAATATGTGCTAACATATTTTTTACATACCACTTTACTAAAACATTAATTAAATAATTATAAGTAATGTTATTTTTTTGTTGTTTATGAATAATTATGAAATAAAAAAATACGCATTTGGATGTTAAAAATAATAACTTCGTCATATTTTTAACTTTTTCAATTTTAATCGAAGATAAAAATAAGTTCATGTAATATTCATGAATTTAGAATTTATGGAGACTTCATTAATTTAGAATTTGTGTTTCATATTTTTCTAGCACAGGAAAACTACTCCAACAATTTAACCTTCAATGTTTTTACATCATAATTTAGACTTTATATACGTAGTATGTTTTATTTGGTGTCAAATTAAACATCATAAAAGATTATAAATTTTATATATTTTTTTAAAAAAATTGGAGAATAAATAAAAAGAGTTATAAGAGTTTTATTGAGTTGGATTTTATGGCGCACTGACGTCATTCGTACCCACACCTACGTCTCAGGCTCCTAGTCGTCTTTCATTTTCCCTTTTTCTTTTTCTTCTCCCCCTATCAATCCCTCATCTATATATTTAACTCCTCCACCCCCTTTCACTCTATTAACCCCCTTTTTAATCTCCCACTACACATAATTAGGAGTTCAAAACCTCCACATTTAGCATTACGGACTTCTAATACCCTAGCACTACAAATGACCTAGACCATTTGTAGTAATGGAGAGTCTAAAAAGTTAAATATGGACTCCGTCGAATATGAAAATAGTGTTTAGACTTTGTCAATAGCGTTTTTTCCTGCATTGTAGCACAGCCAATAAGTACTCTCACCATATATTTTTACATATCAATGTGGTAAAACATTAATTAAATTAATATACGTAATGCTTTTCTTTTAATTTTTTCCGGAGTAATTACATAATAAAATACACATACTTGCAGCTTATGTTCCCTCAAATACTTGGACAGACCTTATGCAACTATGCAGCTTATATGCTCCCTCAAATGTTTCCAAGGTTGCCTCGAAGCACGATGGGCTTGAATGAGGGTCGGACTTTCCAAATGGGAAAATTACACTTGAGAAATCGTATAAATCCTTCTAATTTTAGGTCCACACAAATAATTCATTTAAAAAGAATGAAATTGTCTGCCAAAATGTATGTGTACACAAGATAGTATATAACTTGTATACCAACTTTGTGTGCAATAACTATTAGAGCCCGTTAGGTAGCACAAAAATCGATTGATTTGACTGATTCTGCTGAAATTTATGAAGTTCTGGTTGAAGTGGCGGCATTGGCTGATTCTGCTGATTTAAAAGGAAAAGAAAATTTAAGCTATATTTTATTAATAAAATAAAGAAAAAATTATACTTCCTCCTTTCCATTGAACTTTGCCAACTATACCTTTTTTTTTGTACCAAAAAACTTTGTCATTTTACTATTAAAGTAACTGATTTGTGATTCTGCACATTTTTCTATCCTCTGCACAAATCTCAACCACACATTTTTTACTAGACTTATTTCTCACCTACTTTGCACTTGGCAAAGTCCCGGGATGGAAGTGGTATGTAAAAATAGCTAAAATGGTCATCTACAGTAACTTCAGCCAATACAGCCAGAAAAGTAACTTTAACATTATTTTTTCTGCTTATTACACAATTCAACGCGCGAAAGCAAAAATTACGTGTTTGGTGAAAAGTTGGCTGGTAAGCCGAAAAACAATGTTGTCAAACGGCCTCTTAGTCTTCCAAATAATGTCTCTTTGCTCATGTTTATACTCCACTAAAATACGGACTACTTATTTAATAGTCTAAGTGAACTTGTTCAATAATATGATCATTATAAATTTTTATATTTTTTAATTTTATTTTTAATTCTATTTTATAGTTTTAATTTACATAAAATGTTCTTATTATATATGCTTTATTATAGATATATGATTTTCTTGCTGAATTATGATACGAGTAGAATAAAAAGATACTCGTATAATATACTCCGTACTTTATTACTACTTCAGGAATATAAACAATATGGTCCCATTGTGCATTTTGATATTGTTTTACTACCTTCCCATTATTCATTAATTGAGTTTTTGTCACTTTTAGTCCTTCGATTATTATGTTAATGTCACTTTTGATACATGATTTTAATTTTTTTCACTTTTGGTCTTTCGGCTATTGAACAAAAACAATTGGTACCCGTCTTTGAAATTTAGATATTTAATCCTTCAACTTTCTAATAAGTGATATTTTTAGTTCTTCAACTATTATAATATTGACATTTAAGTCTTCCGCTTAGTATTTCAAAATCATAGTAGAAAGACCAAAAATGTTAATTTGGTAATACTCGAAAGACTAAATGACAAAATGTGGTAAACTTTGAAGTCGAGCACTAAAAAATGTCTATCACACAATAGTTGATGACTAAAAATATAAAATTTGAAAGTCAAGTATCAAAAGTGTCAATGACACAATATTCAGGGATCAAAAGTGGAAAAAATTGTTTATTAATTTAATAGTTGGAGTTTATATGTAGATGGAACAACTTATCTAACCAAGCACTCCAGCCTAGCTGGTTGCGGGGTTACCGTGCCTAGTGGGAGGTCTCGAGTTCGAATCCCGCTAGGCACACACAAGGGTTTGAAAATCAATGGAGTGAGTTTCAGCTCTGATTACTCCAGCCCCCCCCCCCCCAGCCCCCCTCCCTCAGACCCCCTGGAGTTAAAAAAAAATGGAACAACTTATCTTCACTGTGTGGTGAGTTTATTTTTGTTGGGTATTGGGCCCAGGCCCATACTAGCTCTACCCAATCCAAGAGCTCACTCGGGATGCCCGCCTGGGATCCGCCGATCAGGCTAATCATTTCACTTGGCTTCTCCCTTGGATTCATCAATCGCCCAAGGAGGAACTCCCCATGCAATTGCATGAAAGCTAGAGTTGACAGGAAGTGTATTCAATGCAATTGACAAGAAAGCTAGGTTGGGGTATCCATTCATGATTGAGCACATCACCTGATCACCCTCTCCACATATTACCTTGTAGTATAGATAACAACCTTTTTTTACTCCAAAGGTTTGACACATTTTCATACTTAACAAATAGACTTCATTCTAGTTCTTGTGTAATCTTTAGTGTAAATTAGAGGGTTGATGCTCAAGCTCGACATAAGTACGTGTTTTGTAAAATGTTCTACGTGCTTAATAGAACTTGTCTCACTTTGTTTCTTACTCTCTTGTTATTGCATATCTCTCATACTTTATTTATACTATTCTTGGGCCTTCGGACCGCGAGGATTAAACATCAACAATGTTGTTTGAAGATCTTTAATTTCTATATCTTATAAAATTGTAACTTTAGACTATTTGATTTTTTGGTACTAATTATTCTTATCATTAATTTCCTTTAATTAAAATTAAAGAAAGTGACATCACCCCTAAAGAACTTGTGATATCGATATTGGAGTGGTCTTCATGTCAGGCCGGCCTGACGGGATGCTCCGTCCGGCCGAGCCTATTTGGGCACCTTCACGGTGGAATTTTTTGATGAAATTTTTTGGGCATGTTCCTCATCAAGACTAGTTTGTCCATACCAAATTTCAGCTCAAAATTCGATCGGAAAGGCATTCAAATCATTTTTTTGAAGTTGACTGCGTCAAAATATAAATATAAAACTGCAGTCAACTTCAAAAAATGATTTGAATGTCTTCCCGATCGAATTTTGAGCTGAAATTTGGTATGGACAAACTAGACTTGATGAGGAACATGCTCAAAAAATTTCATCAATAAATTCCACCAGGAAGGAGCACAAACGGGCTCGGCCGGACGGAGCATCCCGTCAGGCCGGCCTGACATGAAGATTTGTCATCGATATTGTACTACTTTATGTTGAACAAGGGGAAGACTTGTACTACACTACTACTTGGTACTATCTTCAATGGCGTACGATTCTGAAATTAGATGATCCATATATTATCACATTATTCTTTCGGATCACGCAATCAAATTCCTCCCAAAACTCGCATCCTCTTAAATCTTCCATCTACCACCAGTTCCCTGTACCATCGCCGGCGGCAAGATGATGCATATGACGTTCTACTGGGGCAAAAACGTCACCGTTTTGTTCGATTTCTGGAAAACCGATTCGTGGATCAGCTACGCGCTCACCTTGTTCGTCTGCTTCTTCTTCTCCGTCTTCTACCAGTACATCGAGGACCGCCGTATTTGCTTCAAGATCGCCGGATCGTCTCTCGGCGCCGATGCTAATAAGACGGATCTCCTGGACGCCCCGCTCCTCAGATCCGTTGGCGTCCGCCGAAGCGCGGCGGTGAGAGTCGCGGGAGGCCTGCTGTTCGGGATCAGCTCCGCCGTCGGATACCTCCTGATGCTGGCCATCATGTCCTTCAACGGCGGTGTGTTCCTCGCCGTCGTCGTCGGCCTCGCCGTCGGGTACGTGCTTTTCAGGAGCGGCGGGAACGGGGACGTGGTGGTTGAAAATTCGTGCGCCTGCGCTTGAATCGTTGAATATGGGCATATGGCTGTCTCTGTTAGGTGAAAGAAATTGACATTTCCATATATCCGTGTACTATTAATTCTGTGTAATTCTGTAATACGTATGCGTATCGGGTTTGGTTAAGATTTGTAACCACAGTGATATGATTGTATTGGATTGATTGAATCATTACTTTGTCGGTATGCCGATTAGTGTTGTACTCGGTGCGGGCCACCCGACCCGAGAACCGGCCCAACCCAGCACTGTTTGGGCCTGGCCCGGCCCGGGAACTGGGTACCGGTTCCGGGTCTATGCTTGGTTTAAGGATGGAACCGGGGCCAGTTCCGGGTACGCTAAAATGTGAACCGGCCTGGTCCGGTCCGTTTCGGGCCTGTGCTTTTTTTGGTTTGGGCTGGGTTTAAATGACTGAGTTGGGTGTTTCCGATAGGTTTGGGGGATGGAGGGTAGGGGATGAAATAATCAAGAGAAAAATTAGAATCGCACCCGGCACCGGTCAACATCTGGGCCGGCACCGGTCAACATCCGAACCGGTCCGAGTCCATGACTAATGTCGATTGGGTAGTCTAAACTCTTACCTTCTTCTCTCTTTTCTTTTCAATGATGAGATTTCGATTTTTTTTTTTGAACGAAACTTTCTTAATATATCATACCAAAAAGGACCAAACAGACTGAACTAAACCAGGTAACCGTGTGACAACAAGTCCCCTGTCTACCGTCCGCCCAAGGACCAGCCTCTGAATTAATCACCTCCGTAGAAGCCATATAATTCGTTGATCCCGCTTTGGGCATACCTGAGCCTATGACTTATAGACACGACACATCAGTACCTGTTTTAGTTTCCAATGTATTCTTGCTGGAAAAACCCAGCCCAATCAAAGAAAAAATAACATCCAGAACGTGGAAAATAAACAAAACACAATAACTAGTAAAGAAAAGTTCTTCAGCTAAAAAAATTGTAACCATCATCAGGTCCTCTGGCGGGGTTGGAGACCAGCACCCGCCCCATCACTGTTTTTTGGAAGGTCCAGTGCCATAGCATCCATTCCAGCCCCCTCCCTCGCATGGTCCTCCCAAGTACGTCTTCTCTTCGGCTCCCCGATCATTCCTTCCTCTTCGAGCTCGCTTGAGGCCACCTCCGTTCCCACAACCGCCATAGGGCTCTCCCCCTTCTCCTCCGAGACCCCTACCTGCCCTGGTTTCACCAAATTAGATAAGTGCATATCATCACCAGCGGAACTTCCTTCCGTTATCAGCCACCTGCTCCCCAAATCAGATTTCGAGCTCCTGCCACTTGCTCTAAGCCACGGCCCAAAAGGTTTGGTCATAGCATGTCCCTCCTTCTCGTACAGCAAAGGGCAAAATTTCTCTGCATGGCCAATTATACCACAGCAGAAACAGAAACTTGACAGCTTTTCATATTTAAAATCTACCCAGTGCCCTTCGCCCTTACTTTTCCTTAGAGTAATTCCAACATTTAAGGCTTTGCCAGTGTTCATACGAACTCTCACACGCATATAAGCCTCCTTTTTACTACTGAATTTTTGTTCATCCCATTTGATAAACTCCCCCAAATAGTTCCCTATTCTCCTTGTCGTCCCCAAATTTTCAAAATCATACGGCACATTATGGACCTGTACCCAAATCTCAAATTCATCTAGCACCATTTTTGTCGGGATATCACCCGGTTTCACAGCTTTTAGCACAAGCAAACTTTGATCATACAACCATGGTCCATTTTCCAGGACCCGATTCATATCAACAGAATGAAAAAATTTAAACAGGTACCTTCGTTCTCCAATTTCTTGTATAACAATACCCTTACCCGGGTGCCATAGATCAGCCATGAAGCCTCGGAAGAACGGAAATCGGATGCCTTGTCCGTAAGAACCGTCCCGACCACCGGAAATTCCTTTGCCTTCGCTGCCACGGTCGTCAATTCCCCTTCCTCTTTGTCATCAATCACCAGTTCATCCTGTAAACCCCCAATTCCCAGCCCACCATACTTGGCCGCGAGCTGCCCGACCTGTTCAAATTCCCGTTCCTGAGCCTCCCTTCGTCCAGCATCATCTGCTTCGTCCATCTCCCTGCCGCACCGGTCGATCGAATCTCGCTCCTCGTCCCTTCCGATCGGCAAAACAAACTCGCGCCGCATGATGACGGCGAATTTCTCGAACCCTCAGCTCTCGCGAGCTAGGGTAACAATTTCTTCTCTTTTGGATATGGGAGACCCATTCATATGTTTTTTTATTTTTTTATTTTCTGACCCTTTTTTTGCAGCCTAGAGTTCAATTGATTACGTTGGTTGCTCATTTTAATTTTTTTATATTATTTTCGTCTCAATCTAGTTGGAAGTTATCGTTTTGCTCTCTTGATAACATGTCATCCCCCAAGGCCGCTACATGTTTAATTGGAGGTAAATTGGATTTTAATCATAACTTACACATTGTGAGTGAGACTCTTTATCACAAGTTGGTCAAGTACTTGTAGAGATTATATTCATTTTTTGGTCTTTTGTCTAGGGGTAGGCGCGATGCGGTCCGGTACAATATTCGGCCAAACCTGTACGGCTGTACCCGTACCGTAACTATTCAAACGCTTCGGGTGAGAATAAAAAGGCCCATTCATATGAAAAGTGAGAAAAGATCTGAACCGTTGGTTTAATTCTCACCACCCAGATTATCGCAAAACACTTGAGGCCTTTTTCGTAAATGATTCTTCGCCGCCGTTGGTGAAATATGTAACCGGGCCACCTTGTATAGCAGTTATTTTGGTAGTTTTTCAATCAACGATTGACTACTTTTCCATGATCCTCGGATTCTTATTTTCCTTATTAGTTCTATTTTATCAAATACGTTCTTCCTGCCAAATTTTGTTATCTTTATTATTGAACTTCTTTAACATTTGTATGCACTTTGAAACTTTAATATTTCACTTTAACTCTATATTGTTGCATTCATTTTTTGTTATTTCAATACTTTTTTTTTGTAAGTATGGGTAACACTTATTATAACTTCTCTAACATTTTATGAACTTTCACTACTTTACTATTTTGGTTTTACTGTATACCTAGTATAGTGTTGCATTCATTTTTACCATCTCAATTGCCCGTACTTATTAATGAACTTCTTAAACGTTTTATGCATTCATGTACTATATAATATGTCACTTTTATTATGTATTGTTGCATTCATTTTTTATCAATTAAATTCCTTTTCTGTCGGTCTCGGTCGCACATATTGTGAAATTTAACATAATAACATCTTATGCACTTTCAATACTCTACAATATCACATTTACCCCCAACGTGTTGCACAATGAAGTTTGTATATTGCACATTTTCACATTTTCACAATATTTACCAAAATGCCACCGTGTTTATTTAATATAGGCTTAAATTGAGCAAATTCAAAATGTGTAACAGAATAGCTCCATTGTGCACCACATTGATTTAAATGTGAGTGTTCTCACGTTCTCACGTTAAGCATCATTCTCACTGGAACCGCACCCTACATGTGTGTGTGTGTGTTTAGTATATTCTAAAACTTTATATATGAAACATAAAATAGGGTATTCATATAGAACATATGGAGCCAAAGACCATGGGCGGAACCAGGGCACTGGGTAGGTACAAAGCAGTGTCGGTCTTACATAAAATTGGGCCTGAGTCCAGCTTTATAAAATGACCCTTATATGTAGTAGTAGACTATTTGTTCCGTCTCATTTTATGTGTCTTACTTTGATTTGACTTAATTATTACTTCGTGATAAAGTTACTGAAAAAGTAAAAGTTGTGGTTCAGATTTGAGTATAATAAAGTGAAAATTTTTACTCTTTTTGTTTAATTTTTTGCATGAGTATAAAGCACAAAGTTTGATTAATTGTGAACTGAGATTGAATTCCTCAATTCCAATCTTTATGACCTTATATAAAAGTAGATCTCAATTCTCAAATACAAAACTTTCATCAAGGCACGTCCCTGCTTGACTACTTCATAAGACAAGCAAGAATCAACTTGTTTTTAATTTTTATATAGCATGTGTTTATGCAAATACTTCAAATCCCAACCAATAATATAAGAATTAGTCAATAATTATTGATATTAGAAAATAGAAATTTAAAAGTTAGTTCATTCAGTAATTCACAAATCAACCATTCATCAAATTAGCAAATCAATATATAAAAGCTAAAAAACATTGAAAAGAATACGCAGTAACATACTCTATTGTTCCGTTAGTATTGTGAAGTAGCGGATGATTTAAGCCAGACAAGTGTAGGCTACACTTTGTAGCATATGTTTGCTTTTATATTTTGAACTAGTTTTGTGTCGCGCGTTGCGCGATTGAGCCAATGCCCAGCAATGCCCAATAAGTTTATAAAACTGTTTTTTAGTTAGTGCTAAAATTATATCAATAAACTTTCTAAGTATTGAAACCAAACTATTTGAATCATATCAAACAAATAATTTTGATGTAGAGATTCTGAAGCATTATATATTTATTAAGGTGAAAAATGCTATACTCGTCAGAGTAACGTTTCAAGATTTTATTTTTATAAAGTGCATCTCATGTATATTATAGCTAGGAAAATAAAAGAGTAAATATTTTGATGCTTGATGAAAAAATATAAGCATGTGTGTAGGAAAAATGACTACTAATTTAATTCGTCTCGTATAAAGACAAGGGTTAATTATCACCTCTAATTCAAATCACTAAATTAAAGAATTGACAGCTAAACAATGAAACTAAATGCATGTGGTACTTAAGGCCAGGGGTTTCGAATGGTAAGAATGACACTAAGTGTTGAGGATGAAAGAGTATTATAGTCTAAAATTCTAGTACTAAAGGAAGTGACTTCAACTTTTCAACGGAGTGGATTTATATTTGGGTGTCAACATTTTGACTTTAACAATCTCTTAAGAGTTTGGAAGTACGTATTACTATGGATTCATGAAAACTATAACCATTCAAGAACAATAGAAATAACACGAAGTTTTTTAAAAAGTGGAAAAATAAGTTAGTCGAATATGTACACAAAAAAGTTACATATATGAGCGCATGAGACTATGAGGTGGACTTTTTATTTCAAATTACAACTCAAAATAAAGTAGTCATGTTATATTTAAAATAAATTATTGCATGGTTCTGAGTGTTGTATTTTTACATTGGATGGGAGAAGAAAAAC